TATGTATGTATGTATGTATGTATGTATGTATGTATGTATGTATGTATGTATGTATCAACTGGTGACCTTGGATTTGACCTTGACCATGACCTTATGACATAAAGGTCATTTCAAGGTCAAGTTAATTTTTTTTAATGGAACCTTCCATATTTGACACTGGAAATAAAAAGAGCATAAAATTCTACGTCCGAATATGACCTTTAGCAGTTAAAAAATAACACCCCCGAAGATCGTTAATATGTAAATGTCTACATTTCACTTAGTGATAAATTCTAGAATATCTTAATATTTACATACAAGAGAAGTGTTGACTTGTAAGTTGTTTAGTTTAGATGAGGGGCCCAATGTTAACGTTTAGCAAGGTCAGTTCACAAATTCTCTTCTCTTGTATGTACAGATATTCTCATATCATGCAAGTCGCGGACGTATCGAGTGTTTAACACGTGTGGAATGTTGTAAATATTACAAGGAATCAAAGGTCGGGCTTCTTTCAGGGATGCTAAAAACATTTTCAGTAACGAATTTGGCCATCGAGTGGGAAAAAATCTTCCAAAGGAAAGTTGTGAGAGACGGTTCAGTAGGTATCGAGTCGGGCACCTCAACTCAATGACGGATCCCCAAAAATTCAACAGAGTATTACAAAATGATCCAAATATTCGCCTAACGCGAAGATGGTTATCCGCCGATTCCGATACAAAGAGTGTCATCCCGATCGAGTCGTGCCCTTCGCTCATCGTGTAGTTCACGGATAGTGAAGTTCATTTTGTGAATGAAAAACAATCGGCTCCTTTCGGAGACGTTTAATGTTAGAGTGCAGGAACGACAGTGTAAGTGTTTGAAAATTTTTCAGTGAAGAGTGACAGCGGTGTAATGAGGTTGAGTTTGTGTATAAAAATCAATTGGCTCCTTTCAAAAACGTGTATTGATAGAACGTAGGAGCAACAATCTTAGTGTGTTAAATTTTTTTAGTGTAGTGACAGTGAAGGTGCGGTGTTCCTTCCCTGGAGAGAAGATCAGCTGTGGCTTACATGCGAGCGGCAAAGACGCTGACCCATTGACTGTGTCCCATCGTGAGCAGGTGCACTTGCGAATGAATGAGTAAGTCTAATCTCTACAGTTTTTACATTTTCAATTAAATTCAATGTTTGTTGCGACTTTGTTAATCTTCATTTATCCTATCATCATCCATCAATTATCAACAATCTATCATTTCCGAATCCATTTCACGTAAATAACGATTAAGTGTATTAATTGTTATTCATAATAACGAACGAACAACAATTTTCTTACATTGTTATTCATGTAACTTGTTATTCATCATTATCTTAAAACGCTTCGTACTGAACAGAGCGCTTGTTCAAATCATGGATATAATCCATGGTTCAAACACGTGAAAGGCCAGGCGGCCAGATCCGAGCCAACGCTCCCGAGTCGGAGCCCGCGTCAACCGAGCGCTCTGATTGGTCCGTATTTTTCGTTAATAACTCGGTAACCAAGCCCCATTCTGCATTTTCGGCTCTTAAAACCTTTACGGAACACCCTGTATACTTGCGGTCCCGAGGGTTTAATAGGAGCGTTTTAGCGCGTTTCCCACTGGCCGGCGGCGCCGGCACGGACAGGCAGGGTCGAAACATTAAGTTGCGAGGTATAGGAAAGAGCGTGTAAAAGCTGAAACTTAGCATTGCGGCCCTGTCTGTCCGCTGAAACGGCGCCGCCGGCCAGTCAGAAACGCGCTTTTCGCGCAGCTTGGAAGGTGGTACGGATTGCAGCGAACTCGCTCCTCACGGTTCAGTATACACGTTAAAGCACTGAGATACGCAGAACGATCAAAAACTGAACTGTGCCCGTTCATAGACTCTCGGGACCACGAGTATAGTCGGTAGTATTCGGGGTGTAATGGTCAAAACAGGATATGTTTGGGATAGGATAAGGAAGTAGGGACATCGGTCAAGATAAGTAAGGGTGTTTTTAGATAAATTTAGAATTGTTTGTTGCTGAATAAAACTGTATCAACAGTGATGAATTAGTTCGTCGTCCAACAGTTTTATTTTGCATAAAAATCCGCAGTCTGCTAATAACTATTGAAATAAAATAACTGTTGAAATGCCTTGTCATTATTTTTACTTAAAGGATTATACAACCTTAAATAGATATTCAAAAGACATAAAAAGAAAATTATTGTTTTCTGAATTTTCACCTATAATTTTAGGTCATTTTCTTCGATTCGATTTATCATAGATAAACATAGTTTCGAATGATACACTATTTCCGCAATATAAGAACAGATACGTCATATTCCTTATTTGCTTGCTTATTTCGAGGTAGAAAAATAAGGAAGACTCGCGAAGCAAGTCCGGCATCCCTACTCCGCGAATGTCGGCGCCTTGGCTCGGCGACGTCGCCTTTCTCTCGGTCCCAGGGTCCGTAAAGAGGCCCCATTCACAGTCCCTGTATTCTCCTCTCCCTCCTTCTTGCTTACCTGGCAACCTCACCTAAACAGCCATCTTGAACCACACGCCACATTATCGTGGCTCCGTTCTCTTTAATCGTAAGACGTATTTTCCATCCGTCGAGGTGATCAAACGTCGCGTCGATTCGCAGCGAGCACCAAATACGCGTGCTGATGCAACCGACTGACTATCGTCTTCCGTAACCGTCGTTACTTTTCATCCTCGGTCAGTTCCACATTCGTTTCGCGATTTCCTACGCGGGCGGAGCGAGCTTTCATTCCTCGGTAGCAAACAGTTCATTCTCCCCAGTTTCGTGTGAATCGCATTATCAATATCGGTTCCTTGACTCCCGTTATCAAGTGTCCATCTGGGAAAGAGAATTACCGAGAGAACGAGACCCTGTGCACGAGTGAAACTGACTAACTGTGAATCGTGTAAAGAAAGAGAGAGCAGAAGGTACGTTAGGAACCAGCTTAATTGTAATTCACACTAAACCTACCGACAGTTTTTCTACACTGATGTGCTATATTTATATTTCTTACATTTGTGTGCAATTGGCCTTGCTATTTCGATTTGGTAGTAGCTTAAATAATAATTACACATTTTACAGTATGACCGAACAAATTTTTCTTTTTATTTCTTCTATAAGAATTTAGAAGCAGTCATTTGATTGCATCATAGTTTTAGTGTTAAGTTCAAAAGGAAAACTGTTTTATTCCGATTTTCGACCGATGGTATTTAACTAGACACTGGTTTTCCGTCTGCCTCTTAAGTAACAACGATTAAGCATTATGCCCCGATTCATGTTCCCAATTCGTGGAATTTCTACTTTCGCGAATCGCCGATCGAGGCCAGCGAGCTGGTTTCGATTTTAAAATATCGCACGCATCTCCGACCGCCGTTTTCGAACGGCTGCACGAGTCAGCGTATATGCAGATTGTTATTGCGACACTCCGCCTATGAAACATATTTTGCATAAGTCAAGTGAGAACGTAATCGAAGTCGGCTTTACTACATCGACCCGTAATTTGTAACTCGAGAGGCAAACCAGTCTTCGTAAGACGAAAAGAATCTGAATAACGCAAGTCGCGTTTCGTTGCGTTCTGATCGATAGACCGCGAGGAAAGACGGACCGTACTTTCCCGGGTGAACATTCTCATCCGATGTGAGTAAATGTCACGGACTGTATTGGCACCGATTTTGACGTGAGAACGAACAGGAGGCCGCAGTTGTGGGATCGGTGATGAAGAAACGCTGAGAACGGTCAACAATTCCGGAAGTAAGTCCTTCCCTTCTGTGACAAGCGGGGTCTCAAAGTTTATTTATTTATTTATTTATTTATTAAACGAATTAAAAGATCTTTTATCCACACGAGAATGTACATTAAATAGAAATAGAAATAAAAAAACGAATAAGATGCTATGAAAGCTAGTGGCGTAGCTAGAAATGTCGAGCCTTTACGTAAGCCCCTTTTGTTGATAAAAACAAGAAGACTTGATTCTTATAAAATACAGAGTGTGTCTCATAACATGACGACTTCAAATAACACGCAAGGTATTTGTTGTATGATGAAAATATTTAAACAAACGTTGCATGTCTTCCAGGGAAACATGCAGTGACGTGATCTATCTCTGGTTCCTTTACTTTTTCATCGAGCTATGAAAGTCACCTTCAGTTTCTTAAATAAAATGTTTAATATCTCTTATCAAATTTCAATAAAGCATCAAAAATTCTGAGTGAAAAAAGTATTATACCAATGAGGGGTAAAATTATATTATAATTATAATGATTTATCAAATATTTGTAAAACTAAGTGTATTTCAAGAGGTGTTCGAAGTGTTTTCCATTACAAACAATGCATTTGTGTAACCGGAATCCAAAATATTTTGTAGTGTTCCTGCAGTTATTGTGGCACACGCATTACTCATGCAGACTCGCGTATAGTCGGCCGTTGTTGGTGACTCGCGGTGGACTCCACCTTTTAATATCCTCCAAAGGAAATAATCGAACAATATTAAATCTGGCCAGCGAACTGCCCAAAGTGTTACTGTCACGAGCGATTCAATGATTAGGAAACATCGTATTTAAGGGGCTATATCAGTGTGATAGCCCAAAATTTAAGAGTTTTTGTGGAATTTTTTTAAAAAAAGTGTTCCATCGAATGTGTTTAAACTTTGTGGGTGTATCATCTGCCTATAAATGAACTATGTAAAATAATTTTTTCGTACAAAAATAACTAAAAGCGACCAAGTTATGCGCTATCTCCCGAGACGCCAAAAAAAGTGCAACTGCTGACCTCATACAGTTCGCTAAGGTGCTTAAAATGAAAAAAGACAAGGACGCTCTTAAACTAGAAGGTATTCTTCGTCCGATGACGTAGGACATCAGAAAAATGTTGAAATTTGACAAAATGGCGGGGCTTTTAAGAAATTTTTCGGTTTTTACTTAAAAAACATTGCCGTTCTTTCGATGCTAAAATTACACTTTTCATGCAATCAAGAATATCCTACGTCATCGGACAATAAAGCATGTCCAGAGCACTGTGTTAAAATTTCAAGTCAATTGGATAATTGATCTTTGAGTTAGAGTGTCAGCAAATTTGAAAAATACCGATTTGAGAAAAACGCATTTAAAGTTTTAACTATTACATTATTACTTCCATTATATTAATACTATTAGAAGGCTGCCACTCGAAAACTAGTAGATCCGACCTTGAAATTTTAGTATGATATTTTTGAAAGCATAAACTTTCGATAAATGCAAAAATATTCGGTTTTTTAAAGTTTCGCACTGATATAGCACCTTAATATTTGCTGCGATTCCTGAGTATGTGCTGGACAACCGTCTTGTTGATGCCATATTATTCGACGTATTAAGCACGGTATATCTTCTAGCAGACCTCCGTTTATATATGTATATTTCAAAGTTTTCTTTGGAATATGTTTGACCTCTTAGTTTTAATGCATTCACTTTCAGTGAAGAGCGATCTAATGAACGATCTGTCAACTATTCACGTTCACTGATTGTGAGTAGATGAAATATTTCCTAATAAACGATTATTAATTTGAGAATACTTCAATAATTATTAATTTTAAGTACTCATTGGTATACTGTTTTTTTACTCAGAATTTGGTGTTTTATTAAGATTCGAGAACAAATATTAGGTATTCTATTTAAAAAAGTGAAAGTGTCTCTTATATCTCGATAAAAAAGCAAAGAAACCAAAAACAGATCACGGCACTGCATGTCTTCCTAGAAGCCATGCAACATTTGTTTAAAATTTTTTATTGCACAATAAATGTCTTACGAGTTATTTCAAGTCGTCACGTTGCGAGACTCACTCTGTATATTAAATAAGTGAACATACAGTAGCTCAAAAAAGTATTGGCGCATTTTTTAAAACGGAGTGACTGTTTTAATTTTCAATAAAAACAATAGCATTTTTAGTGGAATCCTAGAAGATTTAATTTATTACGTAATTAGTAAACAAAATTCGTTCATAATTTCTATTGGTCGGAATTGCGAAGGGAAAAGTGAACATTACATTTTTTAACTTTTTTTTATTGGAATCTTCGATAAAAATTAGTAACATCCCTATCTGTAAACATTCATTACAACCAGTGAAAGCATAAAAAAATTAGACATGTTGAAATATAAAAATACTTCAATTTATCTCATTTTTAGACAGAAAGTCATGAAAAACTGCGATTTTTTGGATTTCCAATTGATTATAGCTGAGAACGACATTAATCGATTTTTATAAAACTTCATACATGTATATAATTTACTTAGATCTACAAACGAGATGTTTCAAATTTTTGTTGAAAAGCAAAATAAAAAAGTTAAAAACGCAACATTAACTTTTTTCTTTGCGACTCCGACCTATAAATTGGACAAATTTTTTTGCTCATTACATAATAAACTAAGCCTTCTAGAATTCCACAAAAAATCATGTAGTTTGGTTCAATCTTAAGAAAATGACTCTGTTTTAACAAGTGTGCCAATACTTTTTTGAGCCACTGTACAATGAAAATAAAATGTTACATCAATATATAATAAAAAGGAAAGAGATAATGACACTAAAAATTCTATATTTTTGGTTAATAAGTATAAACATAATACTTAGAAATTAAAAATATTTTTTGAATTTTTTTGCAAGATCATTAATTAATTCTGTTATATCCACTTTTGCAGCTTCTGTGTTCTTTTATAAATATTTTTTATGTAATATGTATAATATTACCTGCGTAGTGTTTTATATTATCTTGTTAGCTTGCACGTACAGGGCCGAGGGGCCTAAGCACTCAAAGACGTTTCACTTTGCTAACTCTAGCTGCTATACGGTAGCTACACCACTAATAAAAGCCGATGATTCATCTGTATACATGACAATACAATAATACAAAATTATTACAAAATCAATAAATTCAATCTCACAGCGATGAAAATTCCCCCCTCGATTTAAATTATAAAGAAATTGATCGACCTGTTTAAAGCAAGATGGGCTCAAAGATAGAATACGTGGAATCCTCCCACATGTACGCGACGAATTACATCCGCAACTCGAAGGCGATCGGTGTCCTCTGGGGCATCTTCACCATATGCTACGCCATTATCGGCGTCGTGGCCTTTGTCACCCCGGAATGGCTCGGCGACCTGGAACACGAGAATCCGGGAAGGTTTGGCCTCTGGACGAGGTGCAACTACGGTGGAAATGGTAATTCTCCTGCATCGCGAATTGTTCCGGCGTTCGACTTGTTCAACTGCAATTTTTATTAGGTGAATTAGGCGAGGAATGCATCGGCAGATTGGACGACCTGTCGACCATTGCAAACGTCCCATTTAGAGCCAGCACCATTTTAGTTGGCATTGCTGTCATAATCGCCCTATTAACGATCTGCGCGATGCTGTTGTTCTTCTTCTGTCAGAGCACGACTGTGTTTTATCTCTGCGGCTGGATGCAAGTCGTTTCAGGTAAGGTATTATCAGAAGTAAGTAGGGAGATTGCCAATAATGAGCCCGATTTAATTGTAAGTCGACTCAGTGTTTGACAAATATGGGCGACTGCCTCTAACGGCGAACGCATAAACCGTGCCCATATTTTGAGAGGAATAATGGTAGTGAGATATGTCACATATCATATGTGTATTACTTAAGACTTAATTGCTTAATTACTTCCTGCAAGAAGTATGTGCGCTCTCACTTTCATTACCATTACTCCCCTCAAAATTAGGGTATGGTTCGAATATTCGCCCCTTTTCTCACGGTACTATTTACTATTTACTATCGCGCTTATCAACGTTACATTTATCGCCGCGCCAAGTATCAACGTCACACATTCCAGTTGTGAAACTGATACGAGAAAAATGCTTCTATTGTTCGCGAAGGTATCGTGTTTCGTGAGATATTAAAATTGCGTGATTCCGACAAAGAAAATCGGGAGGACAAAACAAAACGAAGGAGACGCGAATAGAAAGTATAACGCGAGCTCGCGTGCTATTGCCGCAATCGTTCGCATACGTAATACCTTATCATCGTGACGACGGACCTGAAAATTACTGCGATGCACGGGGGCCACCGGGTCAGGAAGTGATGCAATCGTTTCACTCGGCGTGTCCCTCTAATTGGATTCTACGTGTGCACGTATGCATCGGTGGATTAAGACCAGTGAGTGCCCTAAGCTGTAAAAATTTCAGCTCCCCCCCAAAAAAAAATTTGGAGGAAACTCTGATTATATGTTACAAACAAAAAGGAAAAGTAATTAAAAGATTTTGGACAGGTCCATTGTCGAATTTTCCCCATTAACAATCAAATTGCCCCCCTGTGGGGTGTGGGCCCCATATTCGGAAACACTGTCTTAAAGTATACATGAGCAAAGTTTGGCGCAGATCGATGAAAAGTCTTAGGTCTTATAAAGTGATACTTTATTTTATTCTTTTAAAAAACTTCCTCAAAATTAGTGCTTTTCAAGCGAAATTAAAATCTCCTCTTAAAAGAGGACTCTTTAATACTAAACTTATCTTTCCCTGGATTATTGATTAGAAAACTTTTTAATTTTAATATTTTGAGAGCCTCCTAATTTTTATTCCGTTATTAGCAAAACTCTGAAAACTTACTTGTACAAAATATTATTAAAGTATATTGTTCTACTTTGCGTCACTATTAGACATTTACTGGAATAAACAGTTAAAGAGTACAATTTAGAAGCCATAAATTTAACATTTTGTTTTTAGATTTGTTTGATTATTTTAAGGAGCGTTTTTTGAACATTTTCAGTCATTTCTAAAATCTTTGAGTTAAGATATTTTTAGACCTTCGAGCTCTTCCGAGGCCCCAAGCGGCTGCTTAGTCCGCTTACCGCTTAATCCGCCCCTGCACGTACGCGTAGCATATACAATACGAGAAACATTCTTTCCACCCTTTACACTTAACCCTCTACTGCCGGTTAAATTGACCATTAATGTTTTGTTATATAATATGTATGTAATATTACACATAATGTGATTAATTTATTATGTCATGTACAGTTAAGAGCAAAATTGAATACACTACTTAAAATTGAATAACTTTTTTAAACTCGGATTAAACGACTTGAATTTTTTGTCAGTTAGGTCAATTA